TAAATTAAGCTTCAAAATAAGACTTATCTAAAAACACAAAAAGAGAAGTCAGATTTTGACACTTGCTGGATACCACAATTTGGGGATTTTAGTCAAAAGCTTGCCTAAAGTTAGTTACATCAAAATTCCCACACTAAACAAAAGATACGGACTTGAAGGAACATTAAGATTCATCAAACATACATGCCGTTCCAGTGACAAGTCAATTTGCAAGAACAAAAGGCACATGCAAAACATTTATCAAGGAAATGCTTTGTAGAGTCTTAAAATATCGAAACAAGAAAATACTTTCATGAGAATATAATTTGTTGACCAGCAGTACTTGGCATTCAAGTGAAAAAGCAACTCAGAAAGGACCACTTACAGAATATGAAGCACTCAGATCACAGGAGGAAAAAAAGCTTTATCCTGGTAAAGGATAAACTGCTATAGCTGGATAAGCCTTCAACTACCAGAATCAACAAAGAAGAAAACTAAACAGTAACCAACCCATCATTCTGAATCTATGATTTTGAGTTTTCATTGTCGCTCATTCTCTAGGCATGTCCAGAAATCTGCGAGGTCAGTATTATGTTTCTCCCACACTCTCTAGAAGATTATACCATGTGTTTAGCACAGCACCGTAAGAGAATACATCCCGTCACAACTGTGTGCTCACTCTTCAGCGGGCTAGCTGCAGAGAGAGTTTTAAGCCAACAGAATCAGAGCTGGGTAGGCTGAACTTCACCAACCACTGGCTGTACTGACTAGAAGAGCACTAATGGGTCTAGCATCCAGCACAGCAGTCAGCTTGAGTAGCTTAGGACTCAGAGGTGCCAAGCGGCCATGTCCCAGAGTGAAGTCAGGCTTCAAGGCAAGAGAGACCTGGGTTTAAACTGTGCATCTTGCTCTTACTGTGGGACCAAGAGAAAAGTAATGAATCTAAACCACAGTTTACCCTTCTTCAAAATGAGAGTAGTATTATGTCTGTTACAACATTATAGTAAAAAGATGAGGGTAACCTATTTAAAACAACTGGCATATCAGGGAAATTCAAATCAAAACCACACTGAGATACCACCTTATACCAGTTAGAATGGCAAAAATGGACAGGGAAAGAAACAACAAATGTTGGAGAGGTTGTGGAGAAAGGGGAACCCTCTTACACTGTTGGTGGGAATGCAAGTTGGTACAGCCACTTTGGAAAACAGTGTGGCGGTTCCTCAAAAAATTAAAAATAGAGCTACCCTATGACCCAGCAATTGCACTCCTGGGTATTTACCCCAAAGACACAGATGTAGTGAAAAGAAGGGCTCTATGTACCCCAATGTTCATAGCAGCAATGTCTGCAATAGCCAAACTGTGGAAAGAGCCGAGATGCCCCTCAACAGAGGAATGGATAAAGAAGATGTGGTCCATATATACAATGGAATATTACTCAGCCATCAGAAAGGATGAATACCCAACTTTTACATCAACATGGATGGGACTGGAGGAGATTATGCTAAGTGAAATAAGTCAAGCAGAGAAAGTCAATTATCATATGGTTTCACTTATTTGTGGAACATAAGGAATAGCATGGAGGACATTAGGAGAAGGAAGGGAAAAATGACGGGGGGAGATCGGAGGGAGAGATGAACCATGAGAGACTATGGACTCCGGGAAACAAACTGAGGGTTCTAGAGGGGAGGGGGTGGGGGATGGGTTAGCCAGGTGATGGGTATTAAAGAGGGCACGTACTGCATGGAGCACTGGGTGTTATATGAAAACAATGGATCGTGGAACACTACATCAAAAATTAATGATGTATTGTATGGTGACTAACATAAAATAATAAAATTAAATTAAAAAAAAGAATTGTCTGAAGAAAACTAAAAAAAAATTTCTTTAAATAAATAAAACCACTGGCCTGAATGCCATGTGCTCCCAATCCTTGTTTTAAACTTTGACAAAAGTATATATATCCAATTCTATATCACCTTTGAGAAAAAAATTTATATAATATAGGAATAGGTACATTGGGTCACAATATGTGTCTCTTAGGAGCAGGTAAAGTGGTGTCGTGGGAGAAAAGAGCCACCTCTCCCCATAAGTTAAATTTTTTTCAATTCTAAGGAAAAAATGCAGCTGTACACTACAACATACAACTACGTTCAATCAAACTCAATGTTAGATACTACAAAAAACAAAAACAAAAGAAAGAACAAGAGGACATCCTCTCAACTTCACTGAATCAATCTAAAAGAGGTTCACACCAAGTCACGGGCAACGCTGAAATCCAAATAGAAAATTTAATAATTGTTTTCGTATATAAATTTGGTGGTAAAATGAGACCTAAACTTGGACTAGAGGTTCTACAGTCTTTATTCCTGTACTAAATGCAAACATTCATGCATTATAATTTTCATTATGTTGCAAGGTCCTTAATCCCACTGGTGATGTGACTTAATATGTTATGTACGGCACTAACTTCTGAAAATATAAATATTCCAAATTTCAAAACATATATAGGTCAAAGATTTCAGAGAAGGCAATCTAAACAATCTCTGCTTAAGGAAAAAAAGAGGTAATAGCTGTAAAAAGAGGTAACTACCAAAGACAGAAACCTGCAGTTAAGAATTTATTTTCTATCCTTCTTAAATCAGTAATTGCTTAGAACCCTTGATGATCCAATATATGGACACAGTGACATGACCTACATCATTAAGTTCTTGGAGAAGCACAAGATGATAAACATAACCCAATGTCTGACACAAAGTACCCAATAAATACTGTGTTACAGTAGTGCCTAGAAAAATACTTTGAACATTTACTAGGAACAGGCAAACTGGTAAATACCTAGCTCAATCTGCTATATATATTTTATTTTGTAATTTAATTTTTAAAAAATCCAAGGGTGTTCATTTGCCTATGCCTAGTGTTGTTTCTCCTATCAGGCCTCAGAGATAGCATTAGTGCAAATCACAGAGGCAGGTAGCAATCCCAGGTAAGCAAACAAGCATTTGGAGCTGAAAAAGCACTGTGAGAGCCCTTAATGCAATAAAAATATTACCTAAAAAGAAAGGAGCTGTGAAATACTGAAGAGCGGCCTAGAGGAATGTTTCCAAAATTTAACGTACAAACTCATCGGCCAGTTTTGCCTAAAATGCATCTTCTGATTTAATGTGGTGGGGCCACACATCCTGCATTCAGGTTCTCAGGTAATCACCATGCTGTTTATCTAGAGGCCCACAGTGAGAGTGGGAAGGCCCCAGAGGAGTGGCCCTCCAAGTATATGATCAACATCACAATCTTCTGGGAAGTTATTAGAAATGCAAACCCTAGAGCATAAGGAAATTTTTGGAGATGACTGATCAGCCATTTATATCCAGTCAGATTACTTTCCCTGATAATAAAAGAATACTTTTTAAATGCTTAAAAATAAAAATGGCACACTAAAACATGTTACAGAAGAAAAACAATTCCTCTCTGTATACAATTTCCAAAACTATAGTCGTTACAAGTATAGTTAAAATGCAGGCTTTTACTCTATAAGAAGCCTGCTCTGATAAATTGTAGGCAAATACAACGTGCGCAATTCTCACTAGGAGCCCTTACCAACTACTCACAAAATAGGTCATGTCCATTGTACCTAGGTAACAAAGGTACGACTGTGTATGGAAACCAGACTAGTTTTCTATTTCCTTCTGCTGAGAACATAACCAACCACATCATGGTTTAGCCAACTTCTCCACAGTCATGTTTACACAATGCCTCGCTGATGTGTAAATACATGTCAATATTTTGATTTATAGCTACTATAGATGATCTGTTTACATACACGGAAACACAAATGTATAAATTATGGTACATTAATGGTTTGCAACACAATATTCTTGAAGGACAAAAACCTTGAGGATAGACTACAAATATAGTGTCATGACCAGAGAAAAGATTTCAGTTTTGTGAATGTGAAGCCAATTGATCATTCAAACTTTGGGGGAAAACCTATTTAACAAATTGATGCATTCAGAGTTCAGACTCAACATTTTCTTCAACTTCCAAGTCTGAATTCCAAGTTCACCTCTCAGTCAAAACCTGAGCACACAGATCTACCCTTCATCTATTTCAAAGATGTCAGTAACAGATTGTGAAGCCCCATACTTGGTTCAGGATCGACGCTGTAATTTTTGCCAGGCAGGACCACAAGTTTTAACAGTGTTTCTGAAGTCACATCAATGGGGGACAGAGGGAGGGAGGGACGAGTGCCTCTGGCATCTAGTGACTATAGGCCAGGCACACTGCTCAACAATGTACAATGGACAAAACAGGCTCTGCAACAAAGAATTACCTGGACTAAAATACCAAGGGTGCTGAGGTTCAGAAACCCTGACTGAAATGATGGAGGCTGCAAAAATAGGCAATCAATGTCCCCCCTGCATCATTACATTCCTAGTACAGTGTTAAGCACAATGACAAATATTTGTTGATTATCACATAAACTACCTCTGTGTAGCTGTGAGGCCTAGAGATGGAAAACAATGATAAAGGGGTTATTACACATGTAGTATGTAAATTACAAAACAAAATTGCAATCATTGTCAAGACTGAAAAGGAATTTAACATATCATCTAGTCTTATTTCTATATATGGGGGGAAAATACCTTCATATGAAAGATGCTATATCATGTACTGATATGGCAGTGTCATGCGGGGGGTGACAAGGCCTTTTAGTAAAAATAAGTATCTTAAGTTTATTAAAATCAGTTTTTACTTCTAATAGTGTCAGTATCCCATACTTTTCATAAATTAAGTATTTCCTTTATAAAAATTAAAACCAATGTGACATAACTAATAAGTGACATTTCACAAGCAGGAAACACAAAATGTAATTATTTTCAAAAAAAAAAAAAATCACAGACTTCTGTGGCCTGCAGGCGTTTATACTTCTGAGAATTCTGGGATTTAAAATGCCATGAGAAATTCTGAACTGGCTTACATTTTTGAAACACAGGAACTGACAGTCACAAGGCCAAACATACCCTTAATAATCGATTCCGCTGCATACAGATCTCGTTTGTAGGTCACCTAAAGGACAAACAAACCTCATTAGACTTAACAGAGTAGGAAGGAATGTGAGAGCAATAAAATTATGCCCCAAAGGAAATGACTTATTTTGGAGAAACTATAAACACATAGTACTGACAATTTCTAAATTATAACAACATTAGCAAGTTCAGATACATTCTATTTCTGCAAATTGCTGAATATTAGTTTTTGGATCTGTAAATTGAGATATTATGTGGCCATGGTTATCAAACTCTTATTAATATAAGTATTATTTCATAGATAATGTGGTAGTGTTTAAATAAAAGTACTAGCACTACTAGTTATTACTGTTTAATAGTAAAGTTTTATGTTGTAAGGGAGGAAGAAAAAGTATGTGTAACAAAAATCACTAAATCACATTTTTAGTTAAAATGAGATAATTCTCAAAGATTAATTCACATCAAGAGGGATTTCCTTCTGAATTGAAGGAAGTAGGTATCTTTATGTAGATAAGGTTCACCTTTCAAGTTTTTTATTAATACATGGATCCGACAGGGACTAGAGGATACCTTCATGTACATAAGAACAATCATTATCTTTCATGAAGATCATGCATCCTCCTTCTAATTGTAACCTGCCATAGTCCTAGGGCAGGTATTTCCCACAACATATCCCGTGAGCTCAAGTACAGAATATGTCCGTGTTTGGCAATGCAGAATCAGTTCTTATGTCAGAAATGAAAAACCTAAAAAATAATGCATTGTATTAATAAGTACTATAAGTTTAGGAGTTGGTTCATCATTAAAGTGCCAAGATGATTATGATGAAAGTGATCTAAAAACCCACTTTCAAAGTACTTACCAAGTAAGTACATTTCTGTGCCTATAATTCATATTTTTTCCCTTCAGACTATCTCATAACTAGACTTATACAAAAACTTTGTTTTGCTCAAGTTGCTCAGGGCACTTCTACCCAAAATTAGATTCCCCTGCTATGCCTTTATCCTGGCTGGTAAATGGCTGGTGCAAAACATTACCCTACAATTGACAATTCAAGTAATACCTAACATGTAAGACAGATAGAAAATTGGGGCGCCTGGATGGCTCCGTCAGTTAAGCATCTGACTCTTGGTTTCGGCTCAGGTCATGATATCAGGGTCATGAGGTCAAGCTGCCCCCTACGCCCCCGTTGGGCTCTGCCCTCAGGGCAGAGTCTGCTTGAGACTCTCTGGATCTCTCTCTCTCTCTCTGCCCCTCCCCACTCCCATGCTCTAATAAATAACTCTTAAAAAAAAATTAGATAGAAAATTGCTTGAGCCTTCAACTAAACTATTGAAGTCACATATGACATTGTTATATGATTGACAAAACAAGTATATGCCAACCAAAACTAGTACTATAGTTACTGATCCACAGTGAAATTCCAGTATCTGGAGAGAAAATAGAAAACAGACATTTAAAGGTCCATGCCATGTATCTCACCAAATTAAACAATATACCGATCTCATTCATTCATTCAACACATATTTATGAAATAACTACTCTGTTCTAGGTCCTGTTCTAAGTTTGGGGGATAGAGCAATGAAAAGAATAAAATTCCTTAACCTGTGGAAACAGTATTTTCGTAGAAAAATTTTCTTGTAAAAATTCCAAAGTTTTTCTTCTGTTTGCTCAAAAACCCAAAGTTAACTAGATCACTCAAATCAGGCTTCAATACTTGTAACTCAAATGAGAAAACAGTATTTTTCTTTAATAATTTTCTGCTGTATAGGGTAAACTCAGAACTGAAATAAGAGGCCTAATAACTGTTGTTCATTTTGTAATCCTTCTGGCTTTGAGGAATGAAACTGCATTCAAAATCACAATAGAGCAACTGTGAAAGTAACTTCTACTTTCTTTGTCCAAAGATATCTTAATGATGAATTTTTTTAAGTTAAGGAAAAATTGGTCTCAACTCCTAAAATCCCTTTTCTAGCATTCCTGCAAGACTAAACAGTTTTACATTGCAATCACTCTTGGTTAAGATACCTATTCGAATCAACTAAAGGTCCTTTCTCCACTATTATTAAATGATTAACTGTATAATCAGGAAAGACTACTAAATTTCCTTCTGTTTACTTTTTCTTGTAGGTTGTGGATACCTACTACACACAGATTAAAGTATTTATTGTTTACTAATATCTTCCACATAAAGCCTTATTTAATACTTCAACCCACTTCTCACCAAACGGATTTAAGAAAACTTAAGTACAAATGTTTCTCGCAAACTGGTAAAGTACTGCATTTAAAAATAGATTTTTTTCCTAATTGAAACAGTTAACGTACTTCAAAGGGAACAGTACTGGAAAATGTTGCAATTCTGAACCGATGAGTTAACTTTTTCTGTCAAACTTTTAAAGTAATATGGGTTGCCCTTTCCTTGTTTTAATTCTCAAAAGTTTATTAAATCAGTTTGAAGTTGATTTCCTTCTGTCAGTATGATCTGTAGTTTTCCTTGGACCTTGCACAATACATTATGAAAATCTGTTACTTAAAAAAAAAAAATTCAACCCTTTAGTGATGGAAGAGAGCCCTCAATCCTCTCACTTATTTTCATATTGCTCAGTAGAGGCTCAGAAGCCACCTCAAGGCCAGTGCTCAGGGCCCCACATTTGCCCCTCACCTAGTTGAGGTCAATTTTTGTCTTTTTTCTTTGTGCTTCTGTGTAATAGTTCATCTGAGTCAAGTGTGCAACTAAAGGAAAATAATATTCAATACAAGAGAAACCTGAAACTCAGAGCCAGCCCAACAGTTTTCTGACGCTGAGGCCAGGCCTCCGTCAGCTGCCCCAAGGTGGGTTCCACACACCATCACACCTGCCTGTGTCACGCTGTGTTGACAATATAGTAACAGACTTTCCAGAGCCTCCTTCAGCTGGCCACCATCTTACGTGGATCAGACAACACTTAGTCCCCATTTTTCCTATCTTTTAACTCGTAAGAAAATGAGTATGTAGCTCCAATAATTAGAAGTCAGAAAATATTAAATTTTACCAAATATAGTATGTTTATTAGACACAAATTTAGATTTGGGGATGTATCTCTTTTATTTCCATTTCATCAATTAGGTCTATCTAGAAAATATCTCTTTCCTCTAGACTAGATGGAAAAATCTCTTAAAAGAAACAATGTTGCCACACTGTATTTTTGAGATTTAAAGGAAGGGAGGTTATTTTGTTTTTATTTTTCTTGTTTTTAAGATTTTATTCATTTGTCAGAGAGAGAGAGAGCACGCACAAGCAGGGGGAGCGACAGACAGAAGAAGCAGCAGTCTCCCCGCTGAGCAGGAAGCCCGATGCAGGACTAGATCCCAAGACTCAAAGGCAGACACTTAACTGAATTAGCCACCCAGGCATCCCTGTTTTTGTTTTTAAACAAAGATGCCATAACACATGGATCTGAAAAAGAAAAAAAATAGTTCCCATCAAAAGGATTCCTGAAAAGTCAGGAATATGGGATGATTTCAAACACTTCAGAAACTCCTCCAAAACAAGTATTTTCAGACAATGAACAGTTTAATTTCTTCAATACCTGGTTATAAATCTTTTATGCCTTAAGGATAGTTGTAAATTTAGAAACAAAAAGCCTGTTCAATTAGTTCTGTATAGTGTAGAAAGTGAGCAAGTACTTAAGTATATTGGGACAAAAATATGGTACAATTATAAATTAAAGGAATGGAAGTTTTTATGTCCACTGGATCAAATTTTGTCAAATAACAGTGTGTCTGGCAAGGTCCGGCAAGGCATTACCCTTCAGGGAAAGCATGAGAGCCAAATCCTATCCCAGAAATCAGTCCTATTCTCTTCCGTGATTGGTTAGTCTTTGTCATGAGGAGTGGGGGATGTCCTCTACCCTGCGTGGTGATTTTTAACAATTAATGTTTCCTCCAGGCCCCAAGGAGCCACTGCATGAGGTATGGCATAACTCTGAACATTTATTTCTTGCATTTACTTCTACAAAAAAGTATGTACAATACAAAATAACCCTCCCGGATTTCTGGTGGCAGTTCAAATAGTCCCACGTGCAGGCATGAAACATTTCTAGTCATTCCTCATACCACTGTGAGGGTGAACTCCCTGATTTCTGAGGGGTAGGGGAAGGTATCCTGGATCTGTGTTTCAGAATCCTTGCCTTACTTTTTATGGTAGTAAAATGCCTGCTGAAATGCATTTTTCACCGTTTCAAGATTTATGAATCATGAGCCATGCAGTTCGCTCAGCCACCTGCGTCCAGTACCGGTTTTAGCCTCAGTGTACTAAATCTTTTTTCAGATCCAAATTTTTGAAAATGGTAGCACTTTTGGTGTTAGTATAGAATCAGAACACTAATTTCTAAGTATAGATTACTGCTTTGGTTTAAACAGAAACCGAGTAACTCTTATCCTTACAAAATGCCAAGACCACAAAATTAAATGAGAAGCCTATACTGAAGACAATTCATACAATGTCATTAAAAAGCCTTAGAGGGCTATACCAATAGCTAGGAAAGTATCAGAAAGAAGAAAAAAGGGGGGTGGGAGAAGATGATGAGAGACAGGAGGCAGAAAGAGGAAACAAGGACCCTAAAACTGCAATACTTGCACTCAAAATCATTTCACCTCAATTATCAGAAGAAATATGGTACCAGAAAAGAACTCCTATCTGCCATTTGAAAGACTTCCTGCCCAATCCATTGCATTCTATGCCCTTTTAAAATCCAAGGTCCCATTATTCAAACAATGTAAAGGAGGAGAAGTCCTGGGAAAGCCAATCCCTGACCTAGTGCACTTACAGTTGGTTCCCATGAAAGGGAAGCAGAGCACCAAGACGTGAGAACTAATACTAATACTGTGTTGTTGGAGAAAGCAGTGAAATAGAAGATTTCCAAAGCAAAACAAAACAAACTAAAAATTGAAATAAATTTGTGAGGAACAAGTGGAAAATTTCAAGAGCAATATGTTACTTTCCTCTCATCTGCACATCTCAGAGGGCTTGACAAGTTTCAAAAAGGCTCTGAACACACACAGAAAAAGATCACCACACACCCTACAACATCAAAAATGAGGCCAGAGAGTATTAAATGAACATGTGAGCCGCAATAAAACTTGTCTTGTGAGTTTCCACTTTCATCTCCCATTGCCGGCAAATTAAGTCTAGCCCACAGCCAAAAGGGGTTGTACAGAGATGAGTGTCAGGATCTGTAACAAAAAACCTAATTGGTAAATACCATAGTCCTCACAATATGTTTACTACCATCTGAGCCATAGACAGAAAAGGATACACAAAATGAATAAAATGTTTGCCTGGTGGGTTGAAGACATTCGGATACCCTTAAAAGAATAATATTGTGTAAGGCAATGATCCAGACATACCAATATTTTGTAATTTTGTAATTTCAGTCATTTTAAGTATGTATGAGACAATCTTAGCATAGGGCAAGGCCGATCACATTACTGTACCGAATACTTAATGAACTCATAGGGCTTTCTGTTTTATTTTTAAGTCAATGAGGAAATATGCTTTTGGGTTCGTATCATCTTAGAGTTAGGATGAATCTTTCCTTATCAGATTTAGGTGGATGCTTTATAAAGATTTCATCTCTTGGGGCACCTGGGTGGCTCAGTTGGTTAAGCATCTATCTGCCTTTGGCTCAAGTCATGATCCCGGGGTCCTGGGAATGAGCCCCACGTTGGGCTCCCTGCTCAGCGGGGAGCCCGCTTCTCCCTCTCCCTCTGCTGCTTCCCTTGCTTTCCTGCTCTCTGTCAAATAAATAAATGAAATCTTTAAATAAATATATATATAAAAATATATATATAAATATATATATATATCCAAGCTCTCTCTCTATATATATGAAATATATATATTTCATCCCGTAATTCAAAAGCAGCAATACTTCAAAAAATAAAACTACCCTACCCTCTTTCAGAAAACACTGTTCAATTCAATACATTTCTACCTTCAGAACAAAGGAAAGCCACACTGTGAAACACTCCAGCTATAATTACTTCATTCCCTCAAAAACAAAGAAGTTGGTCATTAGGAGTCAAACCTTAATATATTCAAGAGTCTAACTCCTCACTGGGGCCACCAAGTGGGTCCAGTCACCCATCCCACTAAGTCAGAACTATGGCAGATATTTCTTGAACCCAGTTAAGTTGGAGCTACCACCCTCCAGGGCCTGGAAGGAAATGTTGCTACTATGGAAAGCTCCATTTCAGACTCAGTCCAATGGAGTTTAAGAAAACTGAATGTAAGAATATATAGAGAGAGAAGAAAAAAATTGAATAAAACCATTTTATCAGCTAAAATGGAATTTGTTTGAATAAATTATCTCAAAGTGAATTTTCTGCAAACCAAGAAATAGAAATGATACATACTTTGATGCTCAGGAAACCCAGTGAAACTCTTAATGCCTTTAATGTATACATACATACATAAATACCCTTATACCTCAAAATACTGAATGATTATGAAACCAAGCATTTTTATACTACCTCTCCATATTCTTAAGCATCTGGAAAGTGTTTATACTTGCAGAATGTGTCTTAGGAATGACCTATAAACACAGCCAAGATCCAGAGCAAAATGCCAACTTCCTTACCTTCCAGAGGTCAGGTGATCCTTCCACAAGTTTGGCATTAATGTGACCGTATTTTAGAGCCAACTGCAAACACTCGGTTCCAAATTCCAAGTCATAGTCACTACACTGGGTAGAAAAAAAAAGTTCAAATATATTTTTAAGTAAAACTTTGTTTTATTTCATAATCAATATATAAAAGGAAGGGCCTAGAGAACTCAAAAACTCTGATTAGGTACTGATTCATCAGGTTCCATAATAATTGTCCCTATGCCCTAAATGTCAAAAGATATAGGAAGTAGGTAAGCTACAATCTTAAGTTTTGAACTTCCTCAATAGTTTCGGGAGTCAAATAAACAGACTACTTTTTTTTTTTTTATTATGAGCTACTTTTCCAAACATGTTTCTAAAATGCCTGAAAGTATGGCTGAAGTTTTTTTTGTATCAGGATTTTATCTAACAAATATATGTATCCATCCAACTCCAACCCCTATGCTATATTAAAATATTTGCAAATCATAGCTTTTGTTCATTTTAATATTTTACTTGTCAATATATGTCTTAAAAATTTATATTTTGATTCTAAACATGAAAACAGTTCAGTATTCTGTTATTAGACAAAAAAGGAGAGGCCTGGGGCACCTGGGTGACTCAGTCAGTTTAGCCTCCCACTCTTCATTTCAGCTCAGGTCTTGATCTCAGGCTCATGAAATCAAGTCCCGCATCAGGCTCCATGCTCAGCTGGGAATCGGCTTGAGATTCTCTCCCTATGGCCCTCTCCCCACTTGCTTGCAGGCTCCCTCTAATAAATAAATCTTAAAAAAAAAAAAAAAATGGAAAGGCCTCTCATAGATTTAATAAAGTACAAGCAACATTTTTAAGGATTTTTAGCAAAACCATTAAAATGACCAATACAATTCAGCTAAACAATACTGTGTCCTGATTATATCCAAGCTCTATATTAAGGAGCAGCATTTAAAAAATAAACGCAGTGTGTATTAGGTCCTCAAGGAAATCAAATCTTTTATTTTTTTTAAGATTTTATTTATTTCTTAGAGAGAGAGAGATGAAGAATTCACAAGTGGTGGGGATGGGCAGAGGGAGAAGTAGACTCTGCTGAGCAGGGAGCCCAGTGTGGGGCTTGGCTTGATCCCAGGACCCCAAGATCATGACCTGACCATGACCGAGATCATGACTGCCTTTGGCAGTCGCTTAACTGACTGAGCCACCCAGGCTCCCCAAGGACTCATATCTTAAAGAGGAGGCTGATTTGAACAAATATTTTGCAACAGACTATGATAGATGCAACACTAGAAGAATATCTACAAGTAGACCAGGAGATAAAATACTTAACTCTGTGTGAAGGCATTATAGAGGCCTTTCAAAGCAAATGATCTTTGATCTCATTCTAAAGATGGAATAAAATTGTAGGAGAAAGGTATACCTTTAGGGCAAAAGGTGGCATACAAACAGAGAACCACAGAATGTACATAGTCCCAAATTGACCAGAATGGTCTCTCAGCTTAAATCTTCTATTATGATACACTACTTAACATATTTCTTAGACATTGTAATTTTTAAAAAAGCATCATCAACATTAGTTATAATCAAGTAAGACAAATGTTAAGCCTCTTCTTTGTACTTCCCGCATTTGTATAGGCTCATTTAGCAGTATTTGAGATCAATATACCGTCAACAGAATGCTCTCTTTAACACATGGTCAAATCCCAAAGATAACCAGCAATAGCCCTCTTCCTGACTCTTTTCAGAGGCAAGATATTTAACACATTTGTGGAAAGCCTTAAAAGTGGTAAGTACATGTTGAGAGGAGACCACAAGAACAGGTACCACCCTCCTGTCTTAGGTGGTGAAAAGAGAATTACTTGATGCTCTACTCCTGCCAATCACATGTTGTACCAGCCGAGATGGCAGCAGCCTACAAAGTATATGATGTCTTTAGGATACTATTCAGTAGAGCCAATGGGAAACACAGAAAACTCTGGTTCAGGTATATATGAAATATATATACTGGAAACAGGCTGAGCAACCTTGGCAGAAAGAGTAGCCTGAATTTGTCATTCGTTGTATAGTCTACTATTACAACTATTTATGGGGGGTTTTGGTAATTTCTGCAACAAAATTTTACTTTTGCAGGAAGTTCAAAAAAAATACATGCTTAATAACCTGTTAAATTCTGAATTTCTACATTTCTCAATAACACTGATGATGACTTCTACTTTTGTATAAGATATGGAAAGCTGGAAAATATAATGTTTAGTTCTGAAGAAAAATCATATAAACTACAAAAGCATAACTTTTTCTTGTACCCACCATAGCTGAGGTCACAAGATGACCAAGTAGCCTTAAATCTAAGAAAAGGCATGCCTCCCCCAAGGACAGAGAGGACACCATCACCAGCTCACCGCACAACAACAAGAGACAGCAGATGTCATACAAGCAGGTAAGAAGAAATAAACGGATAATCTCAACGCACTGCTAAGTACTGAGTGGAGGTGCCTATGAGAATACAGAACCTCTGGGAGTCAAATACTCAATAGGTGTGTTTACACCTTGCAGGCTCCACTTCAGTAACCTACTACTATGAGCTCATGAACAGTATATTACTATTTGAAGGTGCCTGTAACTACATGTACGTTCTACACTCAAGGCATACACTAAACATCTTTAAGTTAAAAATAAATCAATAATGGTAAGACAGAATCATTAAACAATGAGAAATTAATACAAAGGTAGGCAAAGAGAAAAACAGAACATATGGAACAAACAGAAAACAACTAGCACAATGGTAGATTTTAAATCAAGAAAGTTAATCAGTGTGTAATTGCTGAAAATTTTTATCTTTATTATCCAGCATGGGAATCATAGTGATATCACTGATCACATAACATACACACACTGATTCTAAGAACCCTCTGTCCCCCTAAACTTGCAGCCCAAAAGAATGCCAAACAATATTCCTCCCAGGCAGAAACTCTAAGTATACTATTGTCAGAGGTCCCCAAATACAGTCCATCTCAGTCATGTTATGATGAAACTCAAAGTCAAAAAGCTCCACCTATGAAACCCACCAACTCCCATCAGTCTCCAACACATAAGCATGAGCAGAAACCCCAGATTTAACTGAAACCCAAGACTAACATGAAATGTAAGGTCAAAAAGGCAAAACATAAAATCTTTTGGAGGAACTCTGCAGTTAAAAAAAGACTTCAGTATGATAAGTGAGAAAGTGCTTATACTCATAAAATAGGATATTTAAAAGGGGAGAAAATACAGAAAAAAAAAAAAGTGACCACAAAGTCCAATGTTAAAAAAAAAAAAAAGGAAAAGAAAAAAGAAAAACCAGAAGGAAAGAACAAAAAGAGTAGGAGAAAGAGACAAGTATTTAAAAAGAAAATTACAATAATGAAGAACATGAGTTTCCAAATTAAAAAGTCTCACAGCATGTAGAAGCTAATGAATGAAATATACCAAACCCAATTAACAGCAACAACAAAAGGTCTCCTAAAAAGCAGGAACCCAAACTGGTTGAGACCTAATAGCAACAATGAAAATTAGAAAAACAAAGGAACGGTTTCTCCATAATTTTGAGGATAATGATTGTCAATATAAAACTGTACTTCAAGAAAACTTATTTATCACAGGAGGATAGAATATAGATTTCTACAAACACTGAAGGTCTCAACAGAATTTTAGTTCCCATGCAGTCTTTTTCATTCCAAGTTTCATAGGCTTTGTCTTTTTAGAGCAATTTTAGGTTCCTAACAAAGTTGAACAGAAAGTACAGGTATTTTCCACATGTCCTCTATCCCCATCTACTCACAGCTCCCCTCACTACCAAAATTCTACACCGGAGTGGTACATTTGCTAAAGTCAGTGAGCCTACACCAACACATCATTATCACCCCAAGTCCACAGTTTACACTAGGATTCCCTCAGTGTTTTTACATTTTATAAGTATTGGCACAAATGTATAAGAGTCTATATTTATTGTTTTGGTATCCTAAATAGTACTTTCACTGCATTAAAAATTCTCTACAACTCAATCTATTCATTCTACTCCTTGCCTCCAACCATTGAAGTTTTTCCTGCTTCCATAGTTTTGTCTTTCTCAGAAATCATGTACTTGTACTCTTAGAGTATGCAGCCTGTTCAGACTGACTTTTTTCCCCACATAACAACATGCATTTCAGTTTCCTCTGTCTTTCAAGTCTTTGTAGATCATTTTTTGCCCTGGATAATATTCCATTTGCTGGATGTACCAATTTACGTATGCATTCACCTACCAAGGAACATCTTGGTTGCTTCCAAGTTTTGGCAATTATGAAAAAAGCTGGTATAACCACTCACATGTAGGTTTTTTGTGTAAACATAAGATTTCAATTCATTTGAGTAAATACAAAGAAGTACAATTGCTGGATCATATGATAGGAATATGTTTAGTTTTATAAGAAAACTGCCAAATGGTCTTCCCAAGTGAACATGCTGTCTTGCACTATACTAGCAATGAATGAGAATTCCTGTTACTCCATATCCTCACAAGCATTAGGTGTTGGCATTCTAAATTTTGGCCATTTGAATAGATGAGTTGTGATAGCTCGTCGCTTTAATTTGCATTTACCTAATGACATTGGGTGCAGAACATCTTTTTATGCTTATTTGCCAGGCATTTATCTTCTTTGTTGAGCTACCTATTGAGGTTTTTTACCCTTTTACTGAGGGTTTTTTTTTTTCTTATTGTTGAGTTTTAACAGTTTTTGTATGTTTTGGATAGGAGTCCTTTATCATATGTGTCTTTTACAGGTATATTCACCCAGCTTTTACCTTGTCATTTTTTTTTAGGGTGACCTTGGCAGAGCCCAAGTTTTTAATTTTAATGAAGTCCAGCTTATCAATTCTTTCGTAGATCACACCTTTGGCGTTTTATCTCAAAAGTATCACCATACCCAAGGTCAACTAACTTTTCTCCTCTCTCCTAGGAGTCTTGTGGTTTTTTGCTTTAAAGTCTATGATCCCTTCTGAGTTTTTGTGAAGGGTGTAAATTGCGTCCAGATTCATTTTCTTCATGTGAATGTTTACTTTTTGTAACTTTTATTGAAAAGACTATCTTT